ACGGGGCCGGCCCAACTGGTGTCTTTATTAGAGGAGGAAATTAGGACACAGACTAACACAGAGGAAAACCCATGTGAAGATAGAAGGAGAAGATGCCCATCTACAAGCTAAGGAGAGAGACCTGAAAAGAAATCAACCCTGCTGACACCTTAATCTTGAAATTTTAGCTCCAGATATGTGAGAAAATAGTTTCTGTTGTTTAAGCCATCTAGTCTGTGGTACTTTGTTATGGCAACTCTAGCAGACTAACACATCTGACTTCCTTAGGGAGCAACTTATTTGGTAGTGACCAGCTCATGAATCCCCCAAAAGGAAAAAGGGTGTTCCTGAACCTGGAGATGCAGAGGAGGTGGCATGTCAGGGGGTGGCTTTGCCCTCGGTATCAATTAGCTTCTTGTCTGGGGGAGGGTAGGTGGAGCACAACTTTACCTCTGCCCCAATACAAGCTATTCACAACTCTTACTCTAGCATATTTCTCTGGACAAATCAGAGGCCCCAGACCAGATGTGTAACTTCTCTTGTCCTTGCAGATTGCTGGGAATTGCCCAGCTGTTCCTGATCCTATAGTTCAAGTATCCCACATATCCACTCTCAATGAAAACCTTAGGGAACCCCTGAGAAGAGGTGAATTGTCTAGAGTTCTTCAAATCGTTCTCTTTTGAAAGTTAAAGAATAACTACAACTATCTCATTGTTCCAGTGCTCACTAGGACAGATGTTGACAATGGATGTCCATAGTAACCGCACACCTTAGACTTGAGAACACATTTGTCAGTGGCTTTAAGTTGAGCACCGTAGCAGCTACCATGACCACCTTCTCCATAAATGGCCCCTCTAATAGGATGCACACATCTCAAATCCTTGGGGCACCAGTGGTGTGGCTCCCCAGCAAGAGCTTGAGTGTTACTAATTTTTGCTCATTGCCAAGGCAGCTTGAATACTAACTAGAGAGGTTTCACTAGTGGCCTCTTCCTAAAATCAGGATATGATCTGTGACTTGCCAGGGTTGCTACAGGTATGGTGTAATTTCAATTATTCTGGCCCCTCCTCCACTGGGGAGCAACACAGACAGTCTCAGTGAGAGAATACAGCATTTTTAAATCTTACCCAAATGGGAATCAAAGTATATAATTAACATATACAATCTAGTGGCTGGGCATGTACATATGTGCCCCGTGGTCCTGAACATGCAGCCATGGTTGCCACTCCTTATTCAGTCTTAAGGGAATAGATATTATCCTGTGATTACTCTTCCAATGATCTCATTGTACCAAATCTTGGGTAGCTATTGGCCCTGTGCATCTCCATCCACAATCCATATGACACCAAGTTGGAAAACTGAATATCTTGTAAATACATCATCCAATGCAACTGAGACCTGGGGAAGAAGCCTGTCAGATATCATCGTAAAATGCTACCTGTACATTCACGCCTAGAAACTTTTTAAAAGTCTATCGACTGGGCCACCTAAGGTGGAAAAACATTTTGTTTTCATGCATCCTAACCAAGTATCATTTGAGGAATACCCACAGGTCAGAAAAGGTGGCAGGACATCATACATTTCTCTCCTACTGTGTTTTCATGTAAAGCATTCATATGCCTTAAAAGAACCTCTGCACTCAACCTACTTAGCATCCAACTGGGTAAAGTACAAGGCCCTTGGCCCTGTGCATATATTAGTTGGAAGGCTGTTGTGGTTCAGTGAGGAATAAGTCTGCAATGTCCTATCCTAGGTCAAACACTTGCACCATAAGATACTTGGAGCCAGCTGACCTCATAATACCTTCTCTTTACCCAGCTGGGGCCAGGACTTCTACAAGGCCCCACCAGGCTAGAACATGTCTTTATGTTAGGGGTAGAGAATTTGTTTTTAATTTTCTGTAGAGCAAATGCCACCCTGTGGTTATTCACAGTCTGTCCCTAACACCTAGAGGTTTTCATGAATTTAATCTCTTATAGCACTCCAAGAGGCCAATGCCTTGACAGAAATGTGTCCCAACATGCGACACTACTCAATTTGTTGGCACCCAAAATCTTTTCATTTTTCCTACTGGATTTAAAAGCTGAGTGACCGCATTGGGGACACAGAATATAGCTGTGGGATATTTTCTTTGTGTGTATAAGGGGTAAGAGGGTAAGTGTCCAGCTCTTAGCACCTTTACTATCATATTTGACCACCTGAACTATCTCCTGGGTATAAATTCTGTATGATCTTTAAAAATAAACTGGGAGTTCTGTCACACTGTTTACTGATACTTTTTCTGCATTGTGGATTCATAAAAGGAGCAGAAGCTATGTACTATAACTGAAAGCTTTTCCACACTTATTTCAGGAATAATATTTTTCAGAAATGTGTGCAAAATAAGAGAAGCTCTGGATTAATGATTTCTTGCTCTCCAAAAACCAAAACAGACTCTAACCCGTGTGGATTTTCTGAGGTCAAACAAGAAATAAACTATAACCAAGGCTTTCCCACACACAAATGAGTAGGTTTTTTTATAAGCATAAATTCTCTGGTGGATGATGTTTTCTACAACTGAATGTTTTCTCACACTTATCTCAAGAATAGGTTCTTTTCCCAATTTGGAGACACTGAGGTAAAATAAAGTCTGAGTTGTGACTGAAGGTCTTTCCACCTTCAGTTCTTTCATAAGTAAGCTGTTCGCAATAGGTCGAGAACATGGAAGGAGGCTCCACTAGATCCACAGTATGAAGGCTGAGCCAAAAAGAAAGCTAGATACAAAAAGCAGGCTCTGGTGGAAGGTTTTCAACGAGATCAGAAAAATGCTGAGCTGCTCCTTTACCTCATTACTGCTGAAGTGCATATTAGCAATGTCACTTTACAACTAACCTTCTAGCTTCACATTTTAACAGCATCCAAATGGACTATAAAAAGATTCAACAAAAATCCACTTTCCCTATTTTGGGGCAAATACCAGGACTGGAACACCCTCATCACTGACTAATGAGGAAAAACCAAAGGAAATATGGGGCTAATGAAAAGCTTCTGCAACTTGAGGTAGTAAAAGGACATATTAAAAAATATATATTCAAGAAAAACTGGAGTTCCAAAGAGAAACAAAATAAATTAAACTTGGCATTCATGATAAAAAAAACTGAAAGGAAACCAAAATGTAAAACATTATGTAAGTGGAGCTCTAACTACATATACAGAAGAGAGTAAAAGCATTTTTATAGAACACTAAGTTCAATTTTATGCCACTGTTTGACAGTCAAGTAAAAATGATGATTTCCAGCTACATACTACGAAAATTTACAGAGGTAAAACCCTAAAGAGCACAACCATTGAAGAAATCAAAATGTTGCTAAAAATTTGTCCCTTCCAATTCCCTCCTCCCCAAAAATGGATCAGGCCCAGCTATCTTCAGCCTTCAAAGAATGATTCCCACATTATGCAAACTCTTCCAAAGTAATAAAAGAAAAATAAGATTTCCAAATACATTTTGCAAAGCCAGCAAAACCTCAGTATACTCCATCTAGTTTTGTACTTAAAATAATCACCACAAATGGATTCATTATTCCAGGAGTGCAAGTAAATTTCAATTATTTGAAAACTTGTCAAAAAAATAAATTACGAAAATAACAGACATGACCCCTAAAATTACTTGATAGAACTTAGCAACCATCCTAATAAAAAACCTAAGTATAATAATAATTGCTTTAGTGTGTACTATGTGCCAAGCACTGTATTGAGTGCCTTACACTTATATTAACTAATTTTAGCATCACAGCCCAATGAGGCAGCTCCATTTTATAGGTGGAAGAACTGAGACACAGGGAAGCTAAGTCACTTGCCCAGGATCACATACCTAAGAAAGAGGTGGAGTGACGATTTGAACCTAAAGTTCTAGGCACAAAATCTGTGCTCTTAACTACTATACTATATTGTCTTCTAAAAATAGGAATAGAAGGAAACTTCCTAAACAGAATATTTATCAGAAACCAACAATGAAGTAACAGCAGTGAGACTTCCAGGAGCACACGTAGAAGATATCAATGAGGTCTTTATATCTGATATCCTATGATGAGAGGCCACTTCCATCTTTAGAAGCTTCTAGTATGGTGGGGGCTGGGGGTGGAAGTGGCGAGATTCTGCCCAATTTAAGAATGCTCAATTGGAGAACTGAGTTTTTAAAAATTATTTATTAAACAACTAGTATATGAAAATTATACGCTAAAAGAAATAGATACCATATTCAATGTCAAACAGCCTCAGTAAGTTGGTATGAACACATACACATATGCATGAAATTGAGAATAATTTACAAGGCAATTTAACAACAATTACACATTGTAGCACCAGCTAATTCAAAGCACTGAGGTCAAATAATTAGAAGTTTGAGAGGAATGAAGAAGCATTTGAAGAAGAAAGTCTAAGAAGAAAGTCTTTCAGAGATGAACTGGATCTAAAGGTTCTGAGGGACACAGATTAGCAAATGGGAAGAAAAGGTTTTCTAGGGAGGGAACACAAGTGATGAGGGTCTAGATTAGAGGAGAAGCTTCAAAAGTAGATAAGGAGGGCCACAGCCAAGACAAAGGAAAGAATGTAATAAGTCTTGGAGAATCACTTTATGTAAATGGTAAAATGGATTACCTGAAATAGAAAAAGGAAGATATGATCTCTGTCCTTGAGAAGCACACAGTCTGATTACGGGATACATAACTAAGAAATGAGATAGATTTTAAATTAAAAAAAAGGACACAGAAAGAAAGAAGGAAACCTACAAGTACACGAAATGTGTATTCCTAACTTCTCCAACACTGGGGAAGAATTATACTGTTTCCCTCTCTCCCCCAGCTTGTGACCCAGCAGAAACCATTTAGGGAATGGCCCACTTTAATTAGTGGTTCCAAGACAGCCGAGTGAGCATCCAGACCAGGGTGAGCATCCTTCTTATAAAGAAAGCTTAATTCAAAGTTCCTTGCTCTTTGTCTTCGAGGTTTATGCCTTAAGACACTGACCGAGCCAGACCTGAGTGCTTCTCTCCAGTGTGAGTTCGCTGGTGGTGATTGAAAGTGGAACGCTGACTGAAGGCTTTCCCACACTCAATACATTCATAGGGTTTCTCTCCAGTGTGAACTCTCTGGTGCACAATGAGTTGTGAGCTATCACTAAAAGCTTTCCCACAATCATTGCATTTATAGGGTTTCTCCCCAGTATGGGTTCTCTGATGTACCATAAGACTAGAGCTATAACTGAAGACCTTCCCACACTCATTACATTCATAAGGTTTCTCACCAGTGTGAATTCTCTGGTGTATAATGAGGTGTGAGTTTTGATTGAAGGATTTTCCACATTCACTGCATTTATAGGGCTTTTCACCTGTGTGAAGTCTCTGATGTCGAATAAGACACTTACTCAGACTGAATGCTTTACCACACTCATTACATTCAAAAGGTTTTTCTCCAGTATGAATTCGCTCATGGTCAGCAAGTTGAGAGTTCTGATTGAAAGCTTTCCCACACTCGCTACATTTGTATGGTTTTTCCCCAGTGTGGAGGCTCTGATGTCGAATAAGACATTTACTCCGACTGAAGGCCTTGCCACATTCATTACACTCATAAGGCTTCTCCCCAGTGTGGATTCTCTGATGGTCAATAAGATTTCTATTAGAACAGAAAGCTTTCCCACACTCATTACACTTGTAGGGTTTCTCACCAGTGTGAAGTACCTGGTGTCGGACAAGACTTTTACTCCGAATGAAGGCCTCCCCACACTCATTGCATTCATATGGTTTCTCCCCAGTATGGGTTCTCTGATGGTCAATGAGTTGGGAACTCTGAGTGAAGGCTTTTGCACATTCATTACATTTATAAGGTTTCTCCCCATTATGGAGTCTCTGGTGTTGAATGAGATGGGAGCTGTGTCGATAGGTCTTTCCACACTCGTTGCATTCATAGGGCTTTTCCCCTGTGTGGGTTCTGAGATGAACTATGAGCTGAGAGGTCTGCCTGAATGTCTTACCACACTCATTACACTCATAGGGTTTCTCCCCAGTGTGAATTCTCTGATGCCCAATGAGGTGTGAACTCCGATTGAAAGCTTTACCACATTCATCACATGGATAGAATTTCTGTCCCTTCAGAACTCCTTCATGTTCCACAGGACTGGAAGGCAGATATGGATGTTTTCCAAGTTCCTTATATTTATTACACCCATCTTTTGTAGATGTATTTTTATTCTTGTGTGTTATTTCCAAGAAATCACTTTCCAGTTGGCTCCTTTCCTCATCTGAGGATTGCCCTTCTAGCTTCTCCAAAGCATCTTCACAGGCATCTCCAGCTTCTGGTCCACCAGGAACCACTCCATAAAGTCCTTCTGATATCCTATCTGACAACTCGGAACCTTTAGAAATTTCCTGCTTTGCAGGCAACTCTGAACTCTCCATCCTATTCTCACCTGTTGCCAGAAGAAAGAAGAAAACAACTATTACTCATTTCTTTTCCTACGAGAAACATCAGTGGTCTATGTACCTGAAAAAAACTTCATATTACAGGTAAAGAATGAAGTGACACATTGAGAAAGGAGAAAAATGGGAAATAGCTCAAATTTTTCTTCATAGACAGAAAGATGAAGAGGGGGAAGATGGTCAGTGGAGGACACTGGAGGAAGAGCTATCAGGACAGACAGATGTTAAGAAAGCATAGCCAAGTGAGCAGGGCAATTGGAAGGCAAGAGACTAAATTGTAAAGCATGGTGTGATTTTCCAGAAGTCACTTAGAAGCTAGGTCTCCTTAGTAAAATGATGAATTCTAAGGTCCTTTCCAACCAAGACATTGTACAGTTCCATAATTCTCAACACAGATATTGAGAGAGAGAGTGGTGGCAAATACCTCAAATCAAATATGAGAAACAGTGTAGGCAAACAAGATCAGGAAAAAGTATACAAAAAGAAGTGATTCCAATATGACAGGTCAGTGACAAGATTTGGAGAAGCCATGGGTTAAGAATGCTGGGGAAAAGTACTGAAGGGGAGAGCAGAGCTCTACAAGTGGAGATCCCTTAGTCCCTGGAGGACTGGACTAGTAGGAGCCAGTACTGTACTCCTATAAAAATTAAGAAAGGCATCAATAATGTGAAATATAAATCAAAATATGTCATTGGTATCTTGATAATCTAGAACCATAAGGAAACTAACAGTTAAATATTTGCTTTTGAATTCTGGAATTTTTTACTACAAAAGCTGGGAGAAGATAGAGCAATCATGGTCATAGCTAAACACAAAATGCTGGTTCCTTTCAATCACATCTTAACCAGGGCTACAAACAATCATGCTACTTTAGTGTATTCAAGTTCTAGATGTCTGGGGCCCTGACTCCTAAGCCCACTCTCTCCAGAATAGGCTACTGTCCTAGATCTGTCAATCACAGACACTGCCCTGAAAACAAGCCCCTTCCAGGAAGCTGCCTTGCCCAATCTTTCTTGAAGGGGAAGCTGAGGCAACCACGCTTTATGCAGGCAACCCAGCTCATCCCATGATGGATGACAGGTAATTGGACCAGGGCCAAGCATGAGACCCAAGTGTAGCTTTTCTCTAGATGAGTCATCAGCCTCTGCTGTGGCCTGGGCCAAAGTTCTGCCCAAACAGATGATATTTAATGGCTGAACCACCCTTGGAGTCCCTCTCTAAGTAAATTCTGAACTGCAAGCAGGGCAAAATGAAGAGAATTACAAGTAGGAGCTCAAGCTGAAATGATGCATGAAGAGAAGCCAAGCCACGGGGAGCCACAGCAAGCAGAAAGTATGAGGGAACAGAAAATCTAATTAAGAAGGAGCTGTGAGGGGACAAAAGATTCAGAGTGAAGAGAGTGGGTAGCAGCGGTAGAAGACAACAGATATGCAGGGAGCAGCTGCATCACACGCCCAGTGCAACACTAGCCTAATTCATTGGCTGTTGCTGCTGAGGCTCCTGAGCTGCCCTGGGTCAAGGCTCAGTCTCCATGAGGCCCTGTTTCCCAAAGTCTGGTCTAGCTGGTCGGTTTGTTCAGGGTTTCCATTTCTTTAGCCTTATTGTTAAGTAACACAGCTCACCAATTACAATAACTTGAGTCGCTCTCTCTTCCTTACAACTACAAACTCTAACTAAACCACCCTAGGTCAACTAATAAGGAAGAAAGAGAATGTTGATAATTGTTAAAGCTGGGTGATGGTGCAGAAAGGTTCATCATACTATTCTCTCTACTTTGTCTATGCTTGCCATTCTTCACAGTAAGAGTTACAAAAGAAAAAGAATACAGCAAACAACATGCAAACAGTGCAGACTCTAAGTTACTGGGGAACAGAATCATTACCCAGGGAGGCCATGCTGCAGTAATTTTCTGGCATGACGTTCTGGTACAGGGCTCTCTGAATGACTGCTGGAACACTCCACTTCTTCTGAGTATAGTCCACACACAGGAACTCGTATGCTGAAGATTCCTGGAATGACAAGCTTCTATTGCTCAGGATATTCCCAGCCTGAAGGGCAGAGTCATCAGGGGTACTGAGAGCACTGGGCGAGGGTCCTGGTGGGGAAAGCAGGGGCAGAGGGAGAGAAGCTAGGATGACACATCTAAAAGGACAAGACCAGGGCAAGATAGAGTCCATGAACTCAGCAGGCAGGATCAGCTCCAGTGAAAGCAATTAGGCAGGGAAGCCACCTTAGAATGGGCCAGAGCCCTGGGGCTGAGCTCTAGCTATTCCTCGGCCACAGACCTGGGAAGTCAGGAAAGACAGAAAGAACCAAGCTCACCTGGGGCCTGACCATCTGAAGCCCAGTTGCCGCTGCTTGATCTCCTAAGTTCCCTGCTTCGGGAAGGGCAGGCACTGGGGAAGCATGTTGAGCTGAGGGAGGAAAGAAAGCTATGAGTGGGACAAGCCCTGCCCTTGGCTCCAGTAAGATCTGTATCCCACTGAGTGGATCAAGAGAACCTACGCACACTGACTCTCATCCCCTTTCCATAAAGGCTTTATCCTCTGTGTGCTGTGAATTTACCCTGGAGGTCACAGTAGAAGGTCCCTGGTCACACTAACAACTGGCAAGCCCTCACTCTCTTCAACCTCTCTGAAGGAAGCCATACTTCTTTTTTCTGAGGTATAAATGACATACAACATTACATTAGTTTTGTGTGTACAACATAATGATTCAACACTTGTATATATTGCGAAATGATCACCACAAAAAGTCTAGTTAACATCTGTCACTCTATATGGTTGCAAATCCCGCCCCCTCCCCCAACTTTGGCAGCACATATACTAAATTGGAAGCTATACTTCTGACCACTTCCTCTCTCATGGCTTCCCCAGCACCAGCCTAGCCTGACTTCCTCCTCACGTCTCTGGCCCCTCATTCCCTGGTTTCTCTTCCTTTTCCTGCCCTCTCATTATGGACACTCCAAGCACTTAGGCCTCAGAGCTTCCTTTCTCTCTGTCAGAGATCTCACCGACTCTCATTGTTCAAATGCTGCTCTTAAGTTCTCAGTTCTCTTCTATACTCTTATCACAAGCTTCCAGTTGGCTACTGGAAATTTCATTGGGGGTCCCAAAACACCTTAAATTCAATGTCTAAAATGTATGATCTTGGGGCCAGCCCGGTGGCGTAGCAGTTAAGTGCACGCACTCCGCCTCGGCGGCCTGGCGTTTGCAGGGTCAGATCCCAGGCACACAATGACTCACCGCTTGTCAAGCCATGCTGTGGTGGCATCCCATATAAAGTAGAGGAAGATGGGCACGGATGTTAGCCCAGGGCCAATCTTTCTCAGCAAAAAGAGGAGGATTCGTATTGGATGTTAGCTCAGGGCTAGTCTTCCTCACACACAAAAAATTAATTAATTAATTAAAATAAAATAAAATGCAAGTTCTTGCCATCTTCCTTTCCTGACTTCTTGGGTTCTCCTAATAATTCCCGACATTGACCAAAACCCTCTAATTCCCCCTCCTCTCCATTGCCCCACAGATTCTTCCTTCACAATGTCTGTCACATCTGTTGCCTTCCATTCCACTCACCCTCACTCAGGCAATAACTGCCTCACATCTGTTCTCCTACACTAGCCTCCTACTGAGGCTCCCCGCCACCAGTCTCCCCATTCAACCCACAGTGCTCACATGTGCCAGAGTAATCCTCCTGAAATACTTTCTCACACATCATCCCCTGCCCCCACCTCGCCAAATCTTCCTGGCCTCCACCCTAAGGCCCTATACAAACAGACTCCAAGCTCCCAAATACAGTCCTCCCTGATCCCCCAATAGGGTTGGAGGAACTCCCACTTAGAGTCTTTGCTTATATCCTCTGCCCTAGTGCCTTCTACTTTTCTCTCCTCTTTAAATTTCTCCCCCATTTTTCACTGTCCAATCCCACTGCTACCTCCTCCACGAAGAATCCCCTACCTACTCCAGCCCACAATGATCTCGCTCACCGTTTACAGTGTCCACATTGTACATCTGTGATGGCATCAAATGCTTGGGGACAGATATCACTCATATGTACCTCACCAAGTTGCCTCTTCTTGCACGTATGACTGACTCTCTGCCAACTAGATAACAAGCTCTTTGAAAGCTGGGACAGTGTACTGTATCTTTCTGGTCTCCAAAAGTGCCTTTCCCCTGACATGTACTTGACAAAAACTTGCTAAATACATGAATGATTAAAGAATAAGCAAAAGGAACACACAAAGTCACTAGGGAAGGACAGGGCAAGGAAGGACTCCAATTATAGGGTGGGAGATGGGGAGATGAAAGAAAGGAGACTCTAGAGGAGAGAAGGGAGGCCAGAGGAGACTTGAGGCCAGAGCTGAAGAGGTGAGTACCAGAGTGTCCATTGGGGAGGTGGCAGGTCCCTGGGTCGTGAGGAGGCTCCAGGTGGGCTCCAGCAGCTGAACCCTCACTGAGGGGTGAAGTAGGAGATTCCTCTGTGGCACCCAGGGCTGTCGCCTCCTCCAAATGCATTTCCTGTTCCCTTGCTGGAGCTGAAACCTAGAGAAAAGGAAATACATTGGGTTCAAAAGAGCATCCTCGAAGGTATGAAACCCAAAACCTCTAAGAAACATCCCCAAGAAAGAAAGCCAGAGAAAAGAGCCAGAGTGTCCTTTCAGACCCACCAGTACAACCTACAGGGGGAACAACTGTCAAAGAAGGATCTACAGCTTGCAATCCTACTTGCCATCCCTCTGTTGACCCTCTTGGTAGGAGCTTGAAGACCAAATTATGTAACCATTTCCACTCTGTGTCAGTTCTTCAGACACAAATTTGTTTATGAAGAACCATTTAGAAAAAGGAGCCAGGCCAGCAATTCAGTACACTCCCTAGGGCCTTAGCCTACAAAAGAGACCAATCAGAAGTACCAAAGAAATAAAAAATTATAGGTGTGTGTACCTGTATGTGCACAAATAATGCTAATGAGGCTGACAGCTGAAGCAATATCCCAGAACAGTGGCTGACAAACCTCAAGAGAGCTTTTCCAATTTCTCTCAGCAAAAGTGTCTCCTCTTCAGAGAAGCCATCCCTGACCACACTGACAAAGCAAGGATAGTCACTCTCTCTCAAATTACCTGATTATATTTTCTATAGCCTGTATTAATCTTTAAGGTATCTTATTTATACTTTATTGTCTATTTCTCCTCCAATGAAATATACGCTTTTTGAGGGTAAGAAATCTGTCTTGATCACTACCTCCTAGAACAATGCTTGGCCCAACATTGGTGTTCAATTAACATTTGCTGACTGACTTCCTCTCGATATTTTGCTAAGAGTTATCTGCAAACTCAGTTTTTCAATATGTACTACCTCTCCTCAATAATTTATATTAAAAAGTCAAATGAGATCAGGTAACATCAATCTTTAGAGACCTTGAAAATACCTCAGAGCATAGACCTTTTATTTCCAACCCTTGCTTGTTGTCATCAAACTAGCTCCTCACAATCTCATGGTTACTATTTTTACCAGCACTTGGAGCAGAAAACCTAAAATATTATATAAATAAATCACATTTATAAGCTTGCCTGTACTGGCATATACGTCATACAGCATAAGGTGAAAATAACTTCTCCTTCAATAAACCATGCTGGATTTTCCCCGTTGTGTTACATCTGCTGAGATGCGAGGGGACTCTCTCCTTCAGTGTATATCTCTCCAGCTTAGTGGTAGGACCAGGAGGTTCCCTGGGGTCTGTGGTTCCCAGACTCTCTACCGGATGGTTCTTATAAACAGGAGTTACAGCTCTTTATTACAGCAGCTGTGGGTACTGTCAGAAGAAAGAACTTCACTGCACTGTGATAATACAACTTTGTAATTCACCAATAATTAAATCCTGGTACAGTTCCTGTTCATTATCTAGGACTCGTATAAGTTCCCTTTCCTTCCAAGCATAAAAACTCCATTCCAATTTTCATTCTAAGGTGGCATTCCACAGCAACACACTAGGGAAAAGCTAGTGGCTTAGAATCTAGGCAGCTGGAAAATCCTGGTTCCCACAGTTAGTGGTAATCATCAATAACCACACTGTGGCTAAATCTCATGGACAAAGGGAACACTTACTAGCACTGTCATCTCAGATGAGTCAATTAATTAACCTTTCCGTGCTCACATCACTTGTCAATTGGAAGTAATGATTACTATTTGTGTATTTTGTAACCCTGCTAGGAGCTGAAATAAGATACAGGATATAAACATATTTTGTAAGTTGCAGGATTCTGCAGCCCAACAGTGATTACTCTACAATCCTCTTCAGCCCCAATGTGCACACATGCACATGCTCACTCTTGCTGAGCAGAATGACTCTGATTTGCCCTGATATTCCTTAATCTCCTCCTGGCAAACTGCCATGAAAAAGCTTGTTTATCCATTTAGCCATAAACACATTTTCTGAGCCCATGCCAGGAGAGAGAGTCCTGTTCTCATGTCTTCATGTCAAAAAACTTAAGCTTCCTGTCAAAAAACAAAAAACTTTAAAAAAGATAATAGTGGCAGAGTAAGAAATGGAGTTCAAAGACCCCACACCTAGGCTGGAGCCATGACTGTTTAGCTGCCCTGACTGTCAACTATTAGTCACTCTCTTGGGTTTGTGACTCAGTCACCTTTTTCTGAGGCTCCCCGGACAAAAGACTGAGTTTTAATGGAGGGAGCATTCTCTTCTGCTTAAGCAAAAGAAGGTGGGAAATTTTCCTTCCATGCTCCTCATTAGATGGCACTCTAAACACTTCTTCAGCCACTTGTCTTTGCCCATGCTTGGGCCTAGTTGATTTCTAGACCCTGATGATGGTTGATTTATTCCTGTGTGTTTACTTGTTTACACAAGGAAATAACTGTTGACAATGGGCATTGGCTAGTACTCCTGAAAAAAGGTCTAGCCCTAGGACTCCAATCAACTGGAATTGATTCCCTAGAGAAAAATATGTAATCATTTTTTAAAAAGCATTGAATAAAATGATGTACTGGGTACTTGGGAAATTTCATATGCAGGCTTTCCCTGGTAAAGCACAAAGGAGTAAAAGTAGAGGGGACCCTAATCCACCCTGCTCAGTTATAAGGGAGAAATTTGACACTCATCAGGAGGAAGTGACTTATCCACAGTGTGATGGTCTTTTGATGTGTCGATTTAGTCCTAATCTAGCTGCTGCTGTAAAGGTATTTTGTACATGTGATTAAAATCCATAATCAGTTTACTTTAAGTAAAGGAGATTATCCTAGATAATGTGGATGGGCCTAATTCAATCAGTTGCAAGGCCTTAAAATCAGAGCTGAAGGTTCCATGAAGAAGAAACGCTGTCTACGGAGAGCAGCTTCAGCCTGTGCGAGAGTTCCAGCCTGCACTTCCTGACGGCCTGCCCTACAGATTTCAGACTTGCCTTGCCAGCTCCTACAATCACGTAAGTTGCTTTCTAGCAATAATATAAATATATAATATATATAATTTCCTACTGGTTTTGCTTCTCTGGCTGATACACAGTCACCAAGCTAGTCAGCTTTGTGGTCTTAGAAGCCAGATTTCCCACTATTATCACACTGCTGACTCTCCAACTTTTTCTCTAACTTGTGCTATCTTAGCTTTAAATTTCAGAGAACCCCAGGAAATAGGAAAATCGAAATTAGAATTAAAGAGGCAAAAAAAACCTCAGCTGGGTTTGGAAAGCTAGAAAAAGAACAAATGATTATGATGGCCAGAAATGTCACCTCTCATAAGGAACCTAAAAGGCAGGAAGAGAACTGATTTTAAGAAGTCCGAGGAAGTGAGTAACGAGAACATCTCAAATGAAGGCCCATGTCATCAGCATACCCAAAGGTCTACCTCTCCTCCCAACACTCCCCCATTTTAACCAGTGTGCCGATCCTCTGCTTGCCCAGAGTGCTATGTAGATCTCCAGGCTGAAGCTAGGCTCACAAGACAGAATTTCACAAAATGATTCACAGAGCTTGGCTGGGATTTGCATTTTTGTTTATCGTTTGGAGCATAAACCTATTTCCCCTCTATCCACAGAACTGGCTCAAGAATCCTACGGGCAAAGCAGCCTAGAGCCTAGGAAATGGAAAATGCCTAGTCCCAGGCTAACCCAAGCAATAGAGAATAGTTCCAGGTGCCATTCTAGACTCAACTGCTCACCTCTCCTGGTCCACTGAGGTGTCTCTGGAAATCCTCCACCACAGCCACAGCCTCCTCGCCACTTTCAGGGTGATGTAGCTGCACCCAGGTCCGGAGCTCCCCTGGCAGGATACTTAGAAACTGCTCCAGCACCAGCAGCTCCAGGATCTGCTCCTTGGTGTGTACCTCTGGCATCAGCCACCAGCGGCAGAGCTCCCGGAGCCGGCTCAGTGCCTCCTGTGGCCCAGACATCTCGTGGTAACATAACTGTCTGAAGTGCAGCCGGAAAATTTCACTGACAGGTGGGTGATCCTTTTGGAAACTGCAGCCCTTCCTCCAGGTCTGGCTTCCTGGCTCCTGCTTCACTGTCAGGCGCCCCTCCTGCTTCTGGAGAACAGCACTCCTGGGGATGAGGCCTAAAGTTCCCCTGCCTTGGGTGGTCATTATGATCCCAAAGAGAAGCTTGTTCCAGCTGCAATTTGTCCAATTAAAATGATGGTCTGTAATTCAGGTCTCAGGAGCTCTTTTTCAGAGTTGGGGGTGTGGGGTGATGGGAGTGTCACCTACAGAAACATCAAGAGAGAAATCACAGTCACCAGAGTGTTTCCCCCAGGCTGATGACAGACCTTCCACAGTTAAACAGCAAAGCTCCAAAAAAAAAAAGACTGCCCACAACCAGGGCAGTCTCTCTAAGCATCTCTCCAAGTGACTTCCTTTCTTAAACTTTCAGTGGCTCCCATCACCTAAGGGATAAAACCTGAATGTCTATGCCCAGTCTTCATAGCCCTTCACAACCCGGCCTTAGGCCTCTGTTCAAGCCCCCTATCACTCTCCCCAGGTACCCAGGCTAGAAAGGCAGCAATGATCTCCAAATGTGGGATATGCAAGACAACCCAAAGGGTGCATAAGAAAATACTAAGTTGTTATGTAACTCCTATTTAGTGTATGTTTTATAATGTGCGTTGAAATTTGTAAAATAGTACACATCTTTTGTGTGTGTTTCTGTGTGTGTGAGGAAGATCAGCCCTGAGCTAACATCCATGCCAATCCTCCTCTTTTTGCTGAGGAAGACGAGCCCTGAGCTAACATCCATTGCCAATCCTCCTCCTTTTTTTCCCTTTTCCTCCCCAAGGCCCCAGTAGATAGTTTATGTCATAGTTGCACATCTTTCTAGTTGCTGTATGTGGGACGCCGCCTCAGCATGGCTGGACAAGCAGTGCGTCAGTGCGTGCCCGGGATTCCGAACCTGGGCCGCCAGTAGCAGAGCACGTGCACTTAACCGCTAAGCCACGGGCTGGCCCAGTACATATCTTTAATTTACAAATAAACCTATGCTGGAAGTGCATGCTCAAAACTCTTCTACTCTTCTCTATTGTGATAGACATGCACAATAAAGAAAGTTTAGGACTAAAGGTGTGGAGATACAGCTAGAAGCCACACATACTCTTTCTCTGGATTTTCTTCTCCAACTTTGGACAAACTCCTACTACTCATCTGTCAAGCCCCAGAACAAATGCCATTTTCTCTTGAAGGCCTTCCTGATTGCTCCATGCAGGAAGAGAGCTGGTAGCCTTCCTCTCTGCACCTCTCACTATAACAAACAAGTATTTTAACTAGTTTGTGTACAACTTGCCACTCACACCCTCCAAACTGCTAGACAGCCACCAAAGGAAAGCAACCCGATGGAGTCTGAAAATGCCAGACCTTTTTCTACTCAACTCACCACCCCTAGAAAGTCTTCTTGATCTCTCCAAGCTTAAGTGTGGTTATTGCCTCAGTGAGTCCACCGTACCTTTTTCATTCAAACTTCTGCTAGGGCACTTCTCACAGTTTGTGGTTTACACGGCTGTCTCCTCCACTTCCTGGGAGGACTCAAAGGGCAGGGCTGGTTCCCACTAATTTTTGTACACGTGTGTGTACACAGCACACAGAGGCACATATAAGGTAAAGAAATGAACATGGTTCATTTAGCTGATACTGAAGTTGGGGGAAACCTTTTATCCGGTTTATATATAGTTAAAACTGTTTGAAAATCAGCATCTTAGCAGTAACTGGGGCATCTGTGTTATGGTTCCAATTCCCTAGGCATCTTGGTACCCTGGGTAAGCTACTTCTCTCTAGGCTTCAACTTCTTTAAAAACACAAAGATGGACTGAAAAAATAATCTGTGAACCCTGCTCTAAGATCCCACACATGTAGAAAGTTCTGGTCATTTTCCTACTTTCCTTTCTGTTCCAAAAGCTCAGCAGTTTATCTCATGCAGATTTTTGCGTCTCCAAGTCACGCATCAGGTTTGAAATTCCAAGACTAAGTCTGACCCACTTCTGACGCTCCGTATTGTCTCCCCGGGAAAGCAAGGCTGGGAAAGCATCTATCTACAGTTCGCATTAAACCAGGCTTCAGCGGCGCCGCTCACCTGGCCACGTCTGCCCTGTTCATCGCTGTACCCGCAGATGCCCGGCTCCGTGCCAGGCACGGCTGGTCAGGGGACTGGGACAACGAGGCGGCTCTATTTTTCGCGGCTTCTGAGCATCACAGGGACCGCGCCGCCAGCAGCGGGGGCGAAGCGTGCGCCCGGCCGGCGTCGCCGACCTGGGCTGCGGGCGGCCGCGGCTCCAGCCTAGAGACCCCAGCCCCGGCACCGCCTCCCTCCCTGCCCTCGGTCCCCTCACTGGGGACCTGCGGTAGCACTTCGGCGCCAGACACCGCCGCGGCCGGCAGAAGCGACAACAATGGCCGAGCCGGAAGCGAGACAGGCCCCACTTCCGGCCCCTCCAGGATCCCGGAAGTCTCCGTCGCCAGGGTGGGCGCGCGCGCCCACGCACCCAGGAGAGCAGGCGGGACAGTGGGCGCCGGTACTACCCGCTTCCGGGCTAGGCCGGGCCACCTGCGACGGGAGTGGGGGTGGGGCCTAAACTGAGGCCTCAGGCTGCACACATGCCCTTCAGACCATTCAAAGTGTGTGCTTCCCAGCTCTGCGCACCCCAGCTCTGCCCCTTCCCCTCCGGGTGACTTTGGGAAAGATACCCAACCTGTGAGGCTTTCTGCTTCTGAAAAACGCCGCACATAGTCGTGCTCATATACCTTTCTATGAGCGCTGAAGGGCATAACATACGGATACCAGATAGCAAAAGGCCCAGCATATCCTGAGCATTCAGTCAGCCATTATTATACTATATGTGATGCCCGGGGCATTTTTCATCCAATCTGAGTCTCAGTGAAGTGAGCAACAGGCATCTCCATCTTACCAATGAAGAGACAGTCCCAGAGATTGATATTTCCACTCATAGATGTGATGTGGTTAATCTTTCCTAAGGCAGCACTGCCAATCTAGTGTCCAAGAAGAAGCCCCTAGGGAGGGCCAAGGAGCCAATAAAAAGTGGGAAAGTATGGGGACAACATAATCTAGACACAGTTGTATAGTCTAGTATCTAGGAGGCAGGTGTTACCGGGTGGATTTCACCTTGGAGAATGGTTTGCATTCAGAAGCAGGATATGAACAGGTCCCTGCTGCTAACATGATTGAACAGTCCCTGGAGGCACAACCTCTGGGTGTAATGGCCATGAGTGAAGGGCGGAGGATAAGATCAGCCACTTTCCAATGGAGTTTATGTATCTTATGTATCTCATTGTAGCCCAGCAGGTAGGTCCTTTACAGGGTCCAAAGTAACAGTTTCCTGGGCTGTCCAAGCATTAGCACTATCTCGGGGTGTTCTGGGCATACCTCTGGACCTCACATGTGTCCCTCATGTCTCTGCACAAGCCAGGACAAAAACAAAGGCATCAGAAGATCTACTGCAGAGTTTTCACAGGCTTAAAGGAGGTGTCTTGGAGCAGCCTTCGCCCACTGAGCCTAATGAGTGGCCTTCTGATATCAAGGTCACTCTCTACATTTGGAAACCACACAGGGAGGTCTCGGCCTTCTGGTTCTAGCCTCTGCCTGACATTGCCACTGGATGTAGCCCATTGGTCCATTAAGGCCTCAGAGACTCGGGGTTCTTGAGCAGGAAAACTTAAGGCCAGGCCAAATGCCATCAGCTCTGATTTTCAGGTTTCCCTGACCATGTGTTGTCCTGCAATTCTGGCTGCCTAGTATGTAGGAGACACAGGAATATGGAAAAAAAAGATTGAGTTTTTTATTCCTCAGAGCTGTTTCATGCTCAGGCGGTTGGGTTTCATGTCTGTGAGGGCCACCTTCCTCCAGGCAGTGTGTCTAGACTTCATAGGTACCTCTGTAGCCAGCACTGCGGGTCTGATCTACCATGACTGGGGTGGGTCCCAGTGGGGGAGACATGCTCCATGATGCCTCCCATATAGCACCTTGGGACACCCACATTTGGGCCAAAGACAATCCCAGAAGGCCTGAGGGAACACTACCCTGACCTTTCTGGGAAACCATCACACTGGCTTTGGTATGAGAGCTAACAGAACAGGTAACCCAAATTCTATATTCCTAAAGCAGAATTTACCATCTGTCCCCAACTCTGAAGCTCCACCCATGTTCTCATCACTTAAAAGGCACTATCATTTACCCAGGGGCCCAAACTAGAACCCTAGATGTCATACCATGGGCCGAGTGACCATGGGCAAGTTACTTAGCCTCTCAGTGCTGCAACTTCCTCATCTGTAAAATAGGGATAATAATAGTACCTAAATCATAGAGTTGATATGAGGATTGGATAAGATAATATATAAAAAGCACTTAGAATGGTGTCTGGCACATTGTAGGTATTATAAGTGTTTTCTAGTATCATGCTTCCTCCCACTTCTTCATCCCTTATATCCAGATTATTGCCAAGGCCTGCCAAGTCTTTGCCCCATCTGTGTGTAATCATAATCATAATAATAACAACAACAATAGAAAATACCTATACCACTTACTATGCTGCTCTGCATCATCATTGTTCCCTCTCATGTTAAGTCCTGCCTGGTGTGGGGCAACTGTGAGAAGGGTGTTCCCAGGGACATTTTGGATTTAAGGAGACCACAAAGAGAGCAGCACAGTCAGGTCTGGAGATTCTCTGGCCCCAAACTTCTCAGACTTTCTGACTTTATCTGTGTGGACAGTCCCCTTTTCAGCAGCCAGGACATTCTTACACACCCTAAAAATAAGATGGGGCCCTAGAAACCCCCCCACAGGGATAGTTGTAATATGGGCAGGAAACCTCAGCTACTGTGCTTGAATAGGAGTAGATGGGGCCCAAGCCCTAGCTAGGAAAGCGTACAGACTCTTCTATCACCTTAAAAATTTCTACTTTAGGGGCCAGCCCCACAGCGTAGTGGCTAGGTTTGGCACACTCAGCTTCGGTGGCCCGAGTTTGTGGGTTCAGATCCCAAGTGCGGACCTATACCGCTCGTCAGCCATGCTGTGGTGGCAACCCACATACAAAGTGGAGGAAGATTGGCACAGATGTTAGCTCAGGGCGAATTTTCTTTCTTTTTTTTTTTTTGAGGAGATCAGCCCTGGGCTAACATCCGCCAATCCTCCTCTTTTTTTGCCAAGGAAGACGGCCCTGGGCTAACATCCGTGCCCATCTTCCTCCACTTTATATGGGACGCTGCAACAGCTTGGCCTGCCAAAGCAGTGCGTCGGTGCGCACCCGGGATCCGAACCAGGGAACCCCGGGCGGCCGCAGCGGAGCACGCGCACCCAACCGCTTGCGCCACCGGGCCAGCCCAAGGGCGAATTTTCCTCAAGCAAAAAAGAGGAAGATTGGCAGCAGATGTTAACTCAGAGGGAGTCTTCCTCAACAAACAACTTTTAAAAAATGAAAAGAAAATTTCTACTTCTCTTCCAAGACCTAGTTGAGAAATCTCTTTCTCCAGGAAGCCTTCTCTGTACCCCATCTTCCCACCTGGATTAGGTGCCACTTCTTTTGTGCTCCTGTGGTGGCCTGCCACGTGCTTGTCACGGATCTTAAGTGTCACACTGCATTAACACTGTGTGTTTTACTTGTCAGCCTTGTCTCTCTGATTCAATTGAGTCCCCAGGCACAAACTCCAAGCTTGGCTTGTTTTAGTATCTATCTTCTCAGCTGGAAGACAAGGTAAGGCCATCTTTGTTTCCTTGGTGTCCAGTGTGGAGCCTGGCCTAATCTCTAAAAAATGTGTCCTTGATCTAGGCTGCTGTGGAAGGCTTTTTAACCAGGGAAGGAAACCAATCAGTCTGGGCTGTGATTGCCAGCTATACTGAGGGGCTTGGTGGGAAAGACATAGGGACATCCCTTATATCTGCTTATCTGCTTTGCAATCCCAGTGCCTCTGTAAGACTGGATCATTCGTTTGCAGGCGAAGATTCTGAAGCTTGGCAAACGTCCTGCTAGGTGGGTAACATTTTACTGGCTGAAAAGGGCAAGGAAGTCTTTAAAGTTAGGTATATAGACCTCCCATCCTCCTCTTATTTCTGTTGCAAGATGCTGTCTCTCTCTGACCCTCATTCATTCCTGTTCTTTTAATTACTCTCAGATTTCCTCCTGCTAATGGTCTGCCAGACCCTAGTTACCAGCACGAGGGTCAGCGATGGTCACAAAATGTGGCTTCGCAGTAGACTCGGGGAGGGGAAGGGTCCTCTTCGCGGTAGACTTGGGGAGAGGAAGGGTCCTCTCCGTCTTTGGGCGTCAGGGACCACAGCGGTCCGTCTCACGGGGAGCCAAGCCCAGCAGGGGAGACCAACGAGATGCGAAGGCCTCCGAGCTTCCTAGACGGACCCGGAAGTTGCTCCAAGGTCCTAAAGACCGCAGAGGTACTCGCTTCCGGCACGTTTTTTTGTTCAGGAGTCGTCCGAGGCGGCTGGTGGGGTGGAGGTGGGCTGGGCGTGCAGGTAGGTTTGTCTGCTCGGGGCCCCAGGGTGAGAGATGTGGTCCCAGGCTGGCCCTGCCCCGGTGGCGGTGGTATTGACCCTCTTGCATGACACAGATGGGTGACAGGCCCAGAGAGTGGTGGGGACCGCTCGGGGATCCCAGCGCTTCAGCGACGGCGTTTGGTGGGAACGCAGGCCTCTGCCTCCCCGCCTAGTACCGCCCGCCTCTCCGTGCTTCCTTCCCGAGCGTTCTACCCCAGTGATCTTTGGAGAGCGGAGCGCTAGACTCCTTGTGCTCTGTTTTGGTTTAATCCCCGCCCCAGGCCTGTTGTCCTGGCCCCCAACCCCCTTACTGGACCTCCAGCTCGGCCTCTGGCCCTTCCTGCTGCAAACCAGGATTGTGAGCAAGGACTTGTGAACCGACGAAGGATCCTTAGAGTTGCTAGTCCAGCCACCACCTTCCTACTTTGCAGATGGGGAAATGGGCCCACACAGGCAAGTGAACCGAGACATACTGTTCCCATTGCAGAGATCTTGTCTCTTTCTGAGCCAGTGTCTGTGACCTTGATTCTCCTAAAGCACAGTTCTGGTTTTGGAAATAATAAACTTGACACTATTGGTTGTAATCTTTCAGTTTCTAGGTATTGTCGGACCTCAGATTTGAAATTCATAGTCTTCCAGAAGTGTCTCAAACATAGACTGGAATTTCTTTCCAGCCTATGAGTATGACAGACCCCAGCTCTGCCACTTACTGTCTGGGATTTGTGACCTTGGGTAACTAATCAACTTCTTATGCATCTGCTGAGGCTTAAGTTTCTTCATTTGTGAAAGGGAAAAAAACAATCCATGCCTGT